GGGGGTGGGGGCTGGGGGGAATTCTGGGAGTTGAAGTCCACTCATCTTAAAGTGGCCAAGTTTGGACAACACTGCCTTAGTCACTTAGGTACAGGAGAAGGGAGAGGGTTCGTCAGCTGACATTCAGAAGCCCCAACCCTCTTGATCAGGGATCCTGGGAATTTTTTTTTTTTTTAAATTAACAGGTTCTGCAGCCTGAAAAAAGTTTGGAAACCCATGATTTAGGGGATGAAAAACAGGCTGTGTGGTATACATAGCTCTGTCCTCCAAGGACATAATAGTTGTGTGGGGTAAAGAACACCCTGGGAACTGCCATTAACGCCTCCACCCCCGGTAACTACTGCCTGAGGTCTCCTTACCTAATTGTAGGGTTGATTTACAACCAGAAGCAAAAAGAAGTGACATGATGCAGGTAAACTTCCCATGAAGAACTTATAGAGTCCTTTCTCCAGGAATGAGAAGTGATTGTAGCACTAGATTCTTCATGAACTTGCATGCCTGAACCACTCCTTAGAACTTTAGGTGTGGAACTGACAGAGATAAAGGTTTTTTTCCCTCACATTAAGACCACAAGACTTACATGTTCTTAATTAAAGCTGGTTCTTTCTTTCATTTCTGGTGGCTAAGCACACAATCAGAGTCTCTACTAGAAAAACGAATTTTTGTAAAAGTGTGAAAAAGGCTGCAAAAGTCCTTTCAAGATACTTCTTCATCCTATTTCACCTCCTCCCCAGCTGAAAGCAGCACACTGGAATGCCTCTGACAGCCACCAGTGAAATATAGAACAAGCCTATTTAATTGGGTCTCTTTCCTCGTTACTCACATTTCCTCCATGGCAAATCTGGTAAATTGCAAGTCCTCAGTGCAGTGATGGGGGCGGTAATATGTGGGCTGAAACCGTAAAAGTTGCTCTCAGAGCAAGGGTTTTTAAAATGCATGTGCAAGACTTTATTTTGCCTTAGTTAACAAGCATACAAGGTAGACGGTTGAGTCAAACAGGCACAGCACCGGGACTGCCGCCGCCTGATTGTCAGCGACCCCCTCACTCCTGGGCTTGATCACAATCCAATCAAAACCTAGTATCATTATTATAACTCTTGTATGAATACGAGTGCTCAGCCTGCCTGGCATTTTTCAGAGTACAAGAAGAGAGATCCCAATCCCCAGGCGCTTGCAATTTAAAATCCCTCCCCCAAGGAACTTGCAAGTTAAAATCTCAGACAAGGAAAAAACGATGGAGAGAAAAAGGAGCGAAGGTGGTGTACTTAATTTTCTTTTCAAAGGTATATACTTAGGTTGAATTACAAGAGGATATGGGAATACTTTGCCACTCAAGTCAGATGACCATTCCTGCCAAATCAAGTTCCCTGTTATATTGTTGAAGATACCTGATCTTCTGTAGTAATGAAAAGTAGTACCTGAGTTCTTAAATAAAATAGAGTACTAGAGCTATTCCTATTTGTTTCCTGAAATTTGATCAACTTGATGCAAATAATTATGATCTTTACAAAAGAGTACAAATGGTTCAGAATAGAATATTGTTTCCTATATTCACTTAAAGAAATGCAGCTGTGAAATATTATTATGCAAATCCAACCACACTAGTAAATCATGGTTTATAGCTTAATATGTTATGTGGCCCAGTCAAATATGGCTTATTTTAGAAAGTATAGCTTAAACCTGGCTTACTGTGAGGTATAAAAAAATACCGTAGCTAAGATACGACTCTCTGCTCCAAATCTGTGCTCAGGTGAGAGAGGAGAGCAAAGAAAGAACAGTGGAGCAAACAATCTCCAATCAAAGCATTCTGAAGCAGCACAGATCAGGAAGAACCAGAATGGCACACCCCAATATATTTGCACGGAACGACTCTTGTGACTGAGAGGTGTCCCTGGGGTGAGGTTAAAAAAGGCAAGACAGCAGCAACAACTTTGGAGCCCTCTTTTTTATGTGTGTCACACTTTTTGACAGCCCCTTTTTTGGAGAGAGGTTAGGACTTGAGAATGGCTGGTGATCAAAGAAAGAGAAGTGATATCAACTATGAGGCATCGTCAAGAATTTGGGTAGCTGTTATATTTGGAGTGTAAGGAGATTATCTTTAGACTGAGACACAGTTCTTTGCAATATGTCACTCTGGTGTAAACAGAGATTTCGTTCTTTTTTAAATGAGAGGCTAGTTGATGAAATGCAACCAAAAGCTTCTCACTATGATTTAATATCACATATTTTCTAGTAGTGAAATCATTTGTTACTTCAAGTTTTAGATACAGCAGTAGGATTATTAACATTATCACTGCATTTACAAATTGTGATTCATAAATATAGTAACGTAATGCTAGTTATCATAAAAATATATTTCTTGGAAAAAGGTAAGCTTTTTATTTCTATCCTGGTAGAATCCTTGACAGTATTATTGGTGGGACCTAAGAAACAAAAGGGCCAAGAGCCACTGATGTAAATGCCTGTTCCCTCACCAACAGTGGAATAATTCAGAAACAAAGTAGACTGAGAAGTCAATCTACTTTATTCTGAAATCATACCTAGTGTAAATTATGAAGGAAAGTGGAATTAACTAGGTGGTGGTTGAAGTAGTACTGCATAATTTACCCCCCGGAACAATGTTTTTAGAAGCCTTTGCTCTAAAGCTTGGGTCAAGTGAGTCAAGAATCAGTGCAAAAGTAATAGACAAAGGAAGGAAGTGGGGCAGTGTGCTTACCTTTCAGAAGCTTGAGGGCTAAAATATGAACACACACACACACACAAAGAAACAGACTCCATCAAAGTATCTCTTTAATGAGACAATCTGAATGGAACTTTCTCTGATCTTCATAGAAATGTGCTTAAATTCCTTTGCCATTTCGCAGGAAATGCAATAGCAGTGCAATAGATTTATGTAATTTCTAGATGAAAGAGAAATTCACCAAGGGAAAATATGTAGGTGTAGATAGATAGGATTAAGAGTTTTGATAAATTCTATACTGTAAAAGGACTTGCGTGTCTAGGAAGAAAGGAAAAGAAACTTGTTTCACGAGGTACAAATAGCAAATGTTAATGATAGTGCCTGAGGTGATTTTTTTTTCTGGAATGCAACTCCAGTACTACACCTTGAGATTCTCTGTATATCTGCCTTCCTCGTGTTAACAAAATGCTACTGATCTTAAAAACATTGCTCTTTTTATTTTTTAATTGTGAGCGGCCCAGAGTCATGTATATGAGATAGGCGGCCTATAAATCTGCTAGATAAATACTCTAATTGATGGAAGGCAGGGACTTGGTTTGACTGCACTTCAAATTCTAATCTGCATTTTGACAGCAGCATCAAAAAAGTCATCCATACAATGTTTATCTGAGTTTGGCCACGAGCATACTACTAAAAAAAGTTCGCCTTCAGTCTAAAAAAAATTGTACATCCCTGCTTTTCATGTCCTTGATTTTTGTTAGCCTGCTCTATTCCCTTTTATACAAATCTTTCATTTTCTTTCAATTCCAAAGGACATTGGGATATATCTTGGATGAAGAGTTGGCTAGATGCAAAGACATACTTTGGAAACGACAGGGAGCCAAATGGACTTCCCATGCTTAATCCCCCCCCAAAAAAAAGTCTGAAAAGAAGGGTTTTTTCTCTTTCCTTTGAAGATGCATTTAAACAGAAACAAGATTGATTTAAATACATTGGGCAAGAAGTTTGGTGACAAACTATGTCACTGGAGAATGCAAGTACGCAGCAGGTCTAACTTTTAATCCCTCCTTAGTTACAAAGATAATTGGGAACAGAAGCCTCAATATGACAAATGTAAAACAAGAACCAGCATCAGCAGCTCACATGCTCTTTGATCTCAGCCTGGGAGATTTGGGTTGAAGTTCTTGCCACACACGTAAAACTTACTGAATTTTGAATACCCTAATTAGCAGCACTGTTGCAAAAAAATAAAAGCAAGCCTTAGAATAAACCGTACCCTAAGATTCATGGAGGAACAGCAGGATTAAGACCTATTAATAAAAGTAAACGAAACAGGAATGACAAAGCCACACCTATTCAAAGGCAACCCATAAATCACTCTGGCCCACACCCCGTGTTTTGTTCAGGTAACTCCTTGTTGCTGTGCTTTTGATCCAGAACGCTGGAGAAAGCAGTCACTGCTCTGATTCCATACCGAACATCTGACTTTCCCAACCAAAAGGGAAGGGTATTCTCAGGATATTTCAGCACAGATATAGGCACTGCACAAAAGCTCAGGCCTTAACTAAAACTGTTAATCTCAATAGGTGCGACCAGACTCTTTCCGAATCTCAGCACAGACATTAAATATTAAAGAGATCCTATGCTAATCCCTTGGTAAATTAATGAATGCTTGTGGACTCTGAGAAATTGAGTAAAACAAAGAAAGAACAGAGAAAAAAAATAGAGGTGGCCCCTTGCTATACAACGGAAAAATAGATGTATTTTTTTTTCTGGAAGGCAACTCCAGTACTACAGCTGGAGATCTGAGGGTTCGCCCTCTACAACTGCATACAGTACAGCAATGATGTCGCAGCACCGCCTGAGTTTCTGAGTTGGATCAAGCGCATATTCCCTGCTCTCCCACGCGCGGCCGGTTCCCTGCTGCCTGTGCCCGAGGGGGTCAGCGCTTCCTCTTCCTTGCTGACTTCCAAACTGAACCACCCCCGGGGATACCAACTGATCCTCGGACATTCTCGGTATGAAGTTTTCGGTCTGCAAGGCTGCGGAGAAACTGGCGGTGGGAAGGAAGGGCCTGCTAGCCGCTGCCCTCAGGAAGCGTGAAATATGCCTCGGCAGGGCAGCTCATGACAGGACACGCGCCTGCGATTTCTCCGCGGGGGGACAGAGCTGCAGGACACCGGCCGCTCGCGCCTCGACCTGGAGCGCAGAGGCGGACTGCCTGACTTTTGGGAGGGAGGCGTCGGGATCTGAACAGGGAAACGGCACGGCCGCTCAAGACTTCCCCGCCCCGAAGAAAAGGATGGGAAGAAGCTGGTACCTGTTTTGCCCACGGCGCCCTGTCCCAGCACCACCAGCCTCAGAGTCCGCGCTGGGGTCAAGCTGACTGCTCTGCGCAGGGGCCGCGGGAAACTCATGGCGAGGCCGGCGCTCGACGGGGCGCAGGACACTTGAGACGATGCT